GAACCAGCATCTTTGAGTGATTATAGGGCTGGACTGATGATCTTCCAATTGCTGAGCTCCATCCTTTGTAATTCGGATTAGGGCCAGTATTTCTAAACAATAAGCAAATAAATCCATTGAGTTCAAGCACTGTGTATAACTATTTATATTTGCACATATGGCATTACAAAAATCTACCTGTGAGCAGATACGTACAGTTTACAATCAAGCAATTTCTGATTCCCTTATCTAATTTTACTGAGATTAGTAAAAGCACCATGCCTGCATTCTAACAGAAGTGACTTAGAGTCCCTTCATTGAGAGTTTTCTGAGAGGAAGATAGGTTTAAGCAGTGGAACGTATGCTCTCTTGTGGTGGAAATCTTTAAAGAAGAATATACTTGAAGTTTAAACATCTATTTGTATAAAGTTAGTAAGTACCTTTCTAGAGTGAGTAGAGTAAAATACATGACCCTTGGTGGTTCTTGGAAAATTTGATATAAATACTATAATCAAGCAAAATGTAAATAACCACCAATACTTATATAACTCTGTTCAAATTAAAACTGCTTTCCAATACATAATCTTGTCTAATATTTGTAGCAAGCAATTCTTTAAGGGGTTAGTATGTTTATTTTCTTTGAGAACAAATAAATAATTTAGCCATAAATTTCCTGAAAAAAATCACTTGATTTCGTTGGGGTTTTTGTGGATAATAATACCAGCCCTACAAAGAATTGCCAGAATTATTATAGGAAAATTATGTATTTAAAATGTTTTTGTAATTTGAAAGGGCATATGCATATTAGTAATTTAACCAATTGTTGAACCAGTTGTTGTTTGGCTCTAGACACTTTTACCTTCCCCACATAAACCAAAATTGTAAAGTGATAACATATTTGTATTTGGGAGGTTGAGTCACATTTAATCACAATTAATGATTAAAAATCTACTCTATTTGAACAGTTTTACTCTGCTAATTGAAATGTATTCTCTAAAATCTCTCCACTGTAAGTATATCTTTACTTTTAAGAATTTATGTGAGATATTTTGTAATGCCATGGAATCTGCTTCTCTTAAATGTCTTACAAAATACCATAACAAAATACCGAAGGTTGGCTGGCTTAAACAACAGAATTTTTTTTCTCACCGTCCTGGAGGGTAAAAAACCAAGGTGAAGGTGTCAGCAGGTTTGGTTTCTTCTGAGTCCTCTCCCCTTGGCTTGCAGATGGCTAGGTGCCTTCTTTCTGTGTCCTCACATGATCTCTGCTACGTGCACACATATCCCTGGGGTCTTTCTCTGTGTCCAAACGGCTTCTTATAAAGATACCTGTCAGACTGGATTAGAGCCCACCCTAACAGTCTCATTTTTTTTGTTAATCCTTACCTGAGGATATTTTTTTCCATTGGTTTTCAGAAAGAGTAGAAGGGAGGGAGGGAGAGTGAGAGAGAAAGTGAGAAACATCATCGATGTCATAAAGACGCGTTGACTGGTTGCCTCCTGCATGCTCCCTGACTGGGGATGGAGAGTGAACCCGCAACCCCGGTATGTGCCCTTGAAAGGAAATTGAACCTGAGACCCTTCCGTGCTCTGGCCCATGCTCTAACCACTGAGCCACACTGGCCAGGGCAGTCTCATTTTAACTTAAAGGCCCGATCTCCTAATACAGTCACTTTCTGGATTAAAGGGGGACAGGGCTTCAACATATGAATTTTAGGGAGACACACAGTTCAGTCTATAACATCTCTATTCTGTTAATTTGGAACATATATTATGTGTTCAATTAATATTTGTTTTTAAAATAAATTCATGTGATAAATGAGTTGGATACTACCATTAACTGTAAGTTAAATTAAATATTGGCTGAATTATAGACTTGCTTAATGAATTATCAGAATTATCCATTATAATTATTTGAATACAAAGGACACTTAATAACACTCTTAAAATAGTTGTATTAACTATATTGATTATGTACCTAAAAGAATATTTAATATTAGTTTTGTGTGACTCATTTATACAGTAAAAAACTGCAGTGTAAAGTGTATCACATTAATATATTTTGGAATTTCTATAAATTTAATAATCTTAAGCAATTTAGTATATGGAGTTTTTTTGGGATTTGTTTTATAGGATGTTTTCCACAAATAAATAAGTGGTAAACATCCGTCTATAAGATTACAAACAAACCTAAGATGCTGCTTCAGCGGACACAACAGTTTTGTGACTTATAGTACTAGAGAGCAGATGTTCTATCTACTTGGAAGGGTCAGTTCATTTTCTTTCATTTATAAAGATAATGCTACAGTTTGAGTCTATCCCTTTGACTCCCATCTCCACTGGGGTTGAAGGGCTGCAATTTTCCCTTTTACATTACATCATCAAATAGGGCAGATGGTGTACTAGCTAAGGGGTAAGATTTTCTCTATTTGAAGGTAATTTTTTTCACAATGAATCCATTAATAGATATATTACATGCCATTTTACCTGATGCACACTGACATGGCCACTAGAAAAGTTCACTAAAAGACATTCTAATATGTTTTAGAAAAAAATCACAACTACCAGCTTGTAATAATTAAATGGCTAATATTGTTGAATTCATTGACTTAGGATAGCGCATTTTCTGTGGATATCTTGCATCACTATTTCAGTGCTATGGCTTCCGTCATAAATTAACATAATTGAAATGTAGAGAGTAAAATTATAAAAAGAAATACAAAAATCAGTTACATTATGATGAAAGCAGTAAGATTTTTGACATTTCTGAAGAAAAACTGAAAACACTGTGACTGAGCTGCACTGAGTATGTCATCATTTTACTCTGTAGTAAAATGTCCATTGCCTACTCCTTACTCATGCATGGGACTCCCTTTTTGAAAAGATGGTAGATTAAACAAATTTTTTAAATATACCTTTACTGATTTCAGAGAGAGGAAGGGAGAGGGAGAGAGAGAGAGCAACATCAATGATGAGAGTCATTGATCGGCTGCCTCCTGCACGCCCCCTGCTGGGGATGGAGCCCGCAGCCCGGGCCTGTGCCCTGACCGGGAATTGAACTGTCATCTCCTGGATCACAGGTCGATGCTCAACCACTGAGCCACGCGGGCCGGGCTAGACAAATATTTGAAAAATTAGGTGGGTCTCGGGGTTCTGGGCAAGATGGTGGCATTGGTAAACGCAGTACTTGCCGTCTCCCACAACCACATCAAAATTACAACTAAAATACAGAACAACTGTCATTCAGAACCACCTGAAATCTAGCTCAATGGAAGTCCTACAACTAGGGAATCGAAGAAGATGCACATCCAGGAAGGTAGGAGGGGCGGAATCATGGAACCAGCTGGCCCCACACCCACGTGTGGCAGTTTAAAACTGGGAGGGAAATCTCAGTGGAGGAGGTTTCCCAGAGGAGTGAGGGGTCCCAGCCCCAACCAGGCTCCCAGCCCAGGGTTCCAGTGCCAGGAAGAGAAATCCCCACAACTTCAGGCTGTAAAAACCAGGGGGGGATTGTGGCTGAGTGACACAGAGGAATAGCTGGATTTTGTTATGATGCTAATTACATTTGTAATATTTGAATTATATATTAATATCTTCTAGGTGGATCAATCCAACCATGTAGCATCAAGTAAGGTAGAAATTATAATGAGGCTTATTTTAGATGCCAAATATACTTGTAAAAAATATAAGTTACAAACCTTTTTCTTCTATCTCTAATTCTATACAAAATAAAACATGTTCATATTTTGAGATACTTCCAGTTTTTTTTGAGTGTATAAAGTCATTTAACTTTATTATTTTTATTGAGGTAGAATTGGTATATACCATCATATTACTTTCAATTGTACAACATAATCATTCGATCCTTGTATACACTACAAAATGATCACTATGTTACGTCTGGTTACCGTCAGTCTAGTTTTAAAGATCCAGTAGGTATGGGAAAATAATTCTCTTATTTATGAGTAAATCAAAAGAGTAGAAATTTTAGGCTCTGAAGTGCATCATAATGGAGTTGAAATAAATGATACATTTTTCATCATCAAATACTTCCTGTTCGCAGAAAGCATTACAACACATATTTCTTTATCTAAAAACCACTGGTACTTGATTTATGTTACACATTAAAATAGCATGTACACAAAGATGTTAGCGAGCCCTGCTGGTGTGGCTCAGCAGCTGAGCATCAACCTAGGATCCAGGAGATCCCAGTTTGATTCCCGGTCAGGGCACATGCTGGGGTTGCGGACTCAATCCCCAGTGAGGGGCGTGCAGGAGGCAGCTGATCAATGACTCTCTCATCATTGATGTTTCTATCTCTCTCACTTTCTCTCCCTCTCTCTGAAATCAATTAAGATAATAATAATAAAAAAAAAGATGTTAGTGACATGCTAAAGATCTGGCAGTTATTACTGAGGGAATATTTTAATTTTCTCACTAGACTAGTTTAGAGATGCAGTATAGTCATTTTAAATACTGTATAATAGTAATACAGATAATTTTTAAAAATCTACATGTGGATATATTTTATCACTAATGATTTTCTTCTACAATCAGTATATAAATAACACTAATTATACAGGGTCATTTCAAATAAGGGTGTGTTTAGGCATTGTATTTAATAGACTTTCATTCTTTGGGGTGTATTTTCCGACCTAAGAAAGATACACATTTTATATATCATCAATGCAAAATTCTCTTTAATTCTATTTCTATGACTTTGCTATCTTACATTGACTGTGGACACATTTCAGATAGTGGTATGAGAACTGCTTCAGACTTCTTGTCAGTATCTTTGCTTTTCAATGTGCGGTGAGAGAGTGAGTGAAATGATGGAAGGCCAGCTGAAGGAGCAGCCTTATCAGCCACAAGCAGAAGCAGGCAGCGTGTCCTTTACAACTCCTCGAATACGTAGGACACTCAAAATTAGATACTTTCTTAACTCATTCTTGCCATTTCGAATGGAATTCAGTAAACATTTAGTTGTTTGCTGATGTTGCGATGGGTCGTCTCTTCCCCAGGTCCTGGGAGATCGATGGGCAAACATCTGTAGGTGGACAGAAGATCGCTGGGTCCTTTTGCAAGACATACTTCTAAAATGGCAGCGTTTTACTGAAGAACAGGTGAGTCATGTGGGAAATGGCACCCCTCAAAGACGTGGAGAGACGCTAAATGAGTACATGGAAAAATACGATGGTCTACTTTAATAATTATTATTTTCTTTTTGGGAACTACTTGATTTCTTTCAGTGCCTTTTTAGTACGTGGCTGTCCGAAAGAGAAGATGCAATGAGCAAGATTCACACAAGTGGCTTTAAGGATCAAAGTGAGATGTTATCAAGTCTTCAGAAAATGGCTGTATGTATTTTTTAGCTTTCGATCATTTTTTAAAAACCCCAATAGTTTATATTAACAGCATTATTTCATCTTTATATTCTTTCTGTCCTAAACCAAATGTTCTTTGTTCTTGCTTAGATCAGTCTATTTAATGATATCATATTATTACTTTTCTTTATTGAAATAGGGAAAGCTATAGTGCCTTAGCTCGGGCTGCTCTAACAACATATCATCAGCGAGGTGGCTTAAAAAACAGACATTTATTTTTCACAGTTCTGGAAGCTGGGAAATCCATGATTGAGGTGCTGGTCTCTTCGTGAGGCCCTTTTCCTGGCTTCCGGACAGCACCTTTTTTGCTGTATCCTCACATGATTGGAGGTGGAGGTGTCTCCTGTTCTTAGAAGGGCACTAATCCCATCATGGAGGCTCTTACTCTCAGAACCTCAACTAAGCCTAATTACCTCCCAAAAGTCTACCTCCTATTTTTGTCATATGGGGGGTTAGGTCTTCAACATATGAATTTTAGAGAGATACAAACATTAATTCCATAATATATAGGTAGATGAGCTTTGTTTTCTCAAACAAAATTGTATTCTTGAAAAAATATAGCATACCTGAAATAAGACTTCAGTTAAAATTTACAAGAAGTAACACTAATGCCCTGGCTGGGTAGCTCAGTTAGTTACAGCGTTATCCCAATACACCATGGTTGTGGGTTCGATCCTTGGTCAGGGAGCATACAAGAATCAAGCAATGAGTGCAGAAATAAGTGGAACAACAAATCTCTCTCTCTCTCTTTCTCTTTCTCCCTCTCTCCCTCCCTCTCCCCCCCTTCCTCATTCTCTCTAAGATAAATAAAATAAAATATTTAAAAAGTAACACTAGGAAATGCATGTGAATATTCCATAAAATTCTAAACAGTATAGTTCTAAGGTAATAGACTTAAGTAGATTCTCTGAAAAATGTGAGAAGTACAGGAGATGATTATCCTCACATATAAGGGATTTTTACCCCAGTTTGAGAAGCAAGACAAAAAACAGTGAAACAAACCAATGTCACTGATTATAATAAGTGCCTGTGTTTTGAGAAATGAGGGAACTTTGGCAGTACAAATACTGTCTGGGAAGTGGTCACTGAGCCATTTCAGTTTGAGTTGAACCTTACAGGACTGAAAAAGATCTCTAAAACTTCTCTTTCACTGTGAATCTTACTATTTTCTAGTAAAGGAGAGGCAATCTAATATTAAACTTTATTTTTCAAGTAAAATATTGCATAATTAGGAGTTCCTTTTGATTAGTTCTATTAAGTGCTAACTTGCTGTCAACTCTAATATAAAACAAAGGTCTATTGTAAATAATGTTTCATAATTTTACCTAAGTGAATCTATTTATCTCTCTATATTATGTATTATACTTCACGATAATTAAATCATTTACTTAAAAAGCTATCCTTAAATAAATTTCCCCTGTTCAATTTGTACCATTTTAGAAATATTTATTTGTATTATATATTTTTTGTTCCATAATTACTAAACTTAAGCTTTTCATTCATTCATTCATTCATTCATTCATTCATTCTAATCCTCACCCTTCAGTCTGCAGGCCGATGCTCTAACCACTGAGCCAGACCGGCTAGGGCTAAGCTTTTAATTTAAAATAGATTCACTTATGTATTACTAGTTATTACAAGCTAGCTTGTTATTGATAAGAAATCATTCCTCAAAGAATATATGCTTTATTGAGTGATGATGTGACTAAAGAGAGGTTTCCAAAAAGTAACATATATGTATCAACAGAATGAGAAAATATCAGTGGTATATTTGTAGTTTTGTTCTACAGCTGATAGGGGGATGCTGAGAGTTTGATAACAGTCATATTTGCATTTCTGGAATATTCTTTGGTGGTGAGACTTTTGGTAGTAAGGAGACCAATAGTCTAAAGAAGCACTGGGCATGAAGATACGAGAGAGAAGGTTATTTCAGAAGAGGAAATTGAGGCCCAGGAAAAGCCACGTGGCATGAATAGAAGGTGTCATAGAACATTAGTAGCAGAGTTCAGGTGAGCACCAAGACATCGAGGCTCAGGTCCAGGCTCTCTAAGCCATTTCAGAACTCCTCATATCATTTGATTCCTTGACAAAAACTAAAAGTAATTGAGAACTGTGATTTTGAACGATCATATGCCACTGTGTTGACATTTGTGTGTGTAAAGGACTATTAGCCTCAGGGCCCTGAGAATGCTCTCTTAGCAAAGTCTCAATAATTTTCCAGTATTATTAAAATTCAAATTATGTCACCTTACTTGTGAACAAAGTGAAAATGTGTTATGGATAAGTCTTACCGTTTGATAGTTTAAGCCAATTAACAAAACCTGACAGCTGGTGTAGAATTTGAGGTAAAATTCCCCTGCTGACTCAGGCAGTGAATAAGAATTTAATGTTCATTAAAATATGTCACAATCTGAGACCCAAAACAGGTGCCATCTGTCACCAGTTCCTGCTACATACCTAGGTATAGGTGCCGTGTGCTTGAACTCTCTTTTATATACAATCAGTGCAATTGGTTTTGAAATATTATCAGTAATAACCCACGGGATTTTCTCCTGCTTTTCATTTGAGGTGGGAGATGGGGAGCCAAGTATTTTCATTTCCTATAGATCTGTAGTTTTACCCAAATTGCATAGGTCTTTTTTTTATGGTCCAAACAGAAGTTTTATTTGTTGTAAAGGATAAAAAGAAAAGGAGAGAAGGAACTGTGGCCTTTATGAGGGGAATTCTAAGACTTATGGGAAAATGTAGGCTACCATGGGAAGGCCCAAATCTACAAGTGTGCAAGATGCTCTGAAGGACTGGTGGTGGCGCCAGGGAAGGTCATCTCTGGGGAGCCTGGCGACCTAAGACAGTGTCATGTGCACAGGCTCCAGGAGTCCTGTGGAACTGAGACGCTCTCAGGTGGCTGCAGAGTCAAATGGCAGAGACGGAATGCTAACGGGAGCTCAGCAAGTCCCTTTGACGGTGCTGTTTTTATCAGGACTTGCTACCTTGACCTTAGTTTCTGTTCTCACCCTCAAAGAATTCATCCAGGGAGAATCACTGGTTCTCATTGTGGTCCCCAGACCGGCAGCATCAACATCAGCATCACCTGGGAACTTGTTAAAAATGCAAATTCTTAGGCCCCAACTCAGACCCACTGACTCAGAAATTCTGCAAGTAGGGCCCAGCAACCTGATGTTCCCTCAAGTTGAGAACCCCCACAGTGCATCAGTCTGCCGAAGTGTAACAACAGGTGATTTGAATAAACTGGAGTACTTCTCACATATAGATAAGTAACTGCACATAAAGAGGTTCAGAAATCAGTTTTGCCATGTAAGAGAAATTTTCCTGGCGTTTCTCTTCTGATGAGAGTAGGGTGGAGATTCCCTGGGCCTTTCGTCAGTATACATTCTTTTTTTCGCTTCAAATCATCTGACCTCGACCGGATAGAACATGTCTGTTTGGTCTTTCTGAGCAGCTTAGCTGTCTCTTACCCATCTCTACGACTGGCCCATCTGATTCATTGACTATACCTTCCTGCCTACCTTGGAGGTAGGTACAGGTGCCTGGCTTCTAGGAAAATAAAAGATTTTTCTTCCCTTGAGATCCTAGCTGACCTCTGCCTTCTACAAGTTTTCTGGAGCTTCCTTTTGCCTCCTGAGTTTTCTAGAGCTCTGTGGTTCTCTGGCTCTCAAAGACCTATGATCAGGTTTAGATAGGCAGAAAGACTTTTTATACTTGAGTAATTAGTAATAATTAAATCATAGTTATTTAACATGCCCACATAAAATCCACGCTGAGAAGAATTGAAATCCAAGGATAGGTGGGAGAAGGTAATTAATTACTATTATTCATTGTATCTGGAACCACCATGGACTTCCTGTCTTCTCCCTCTGTTGGTTATGATAGGAGAGTCCTTCAGGAACTGAGAGATTATGGAGAGAGACAGATTCAGGCAGAGAGACAGATCCAGAGACAGAAGGAGAGAGAGGGAGAATCCAGGGAGAGAGAGACAGAGAGATATTGATCCAGAGCAAAGAGGAAACAAATTGAGGCAAAACAGCTAACCTGCCATCACCATTAAAAAAACCACAGATACAGAATTTACTAGATAGAAGCTTTTGTTAATATAGTGATTTTTGTCATACAGATTTAGATAAAAATATATTGATTCCTTAATTCTACAGTTTCACAACAACACTCTTTTTACTTTGCCATGAGTGTATCTTTCCTAATTCTATTTAGTGGCAACTTTCCCCTTTATTTTTGTAATGCTCGCCAAATGCTTCTTTATTTGGTTTAATGTGTCAGCACAGGAGGCTTAGTTTCATTTACCACTAAATCTCGTTGGGTATCCAATTAGTTTTATACATCATCTATGAAAACCTGTTTGGGTAGCATGAGGTTACCCATAAATTTCCAGTGCAAATTATTTCCTGTTCTTTAAACATAACTCTCAGACTCTTTGTCTGAAATGTTTCCAACTCATTACACATTTAGTTTAAATAATGAATTCATCTCTCAGCCTTACACATACAGCTATTTAAAATCATTCCTTAAACTCTGAGAAAGCCAAAGAAGATTATACTTACATCTTTCTATTTTTAAATGCATGTCTTTATTTCTATTATGCCTTTTGCCGAAAAGAACTCAATATGGCTTACAGCAAAATAAATGCATGGCGCCCGGCTGGGATGGCTCAGTGGGCTGGAGCACAGCCCCGTGCACCAGAAGGCCGCCGGGCCTATTCCCCGCCAGGGCACATACCTGGGTTGTAGGTTCAGGGAGAAGGCACCTGATCCATGTTTCTCTTTCAGATTGGTTTCTCCCTCCCTCTCCCTCTCCCTCTCCCTCTCCCTCTCCCT